GGACTGACCGCAGTCTGTTTGGAGGTCAAACAAAATCAATAGCCTTTCTCTCCAGTCTGTCTCTAAACTAAGCTTCTTTCAAAGACATCCAGAGAAAATGGATCATCTTTTGTTGGTGTGTGTGGGGTTTGGGTTGGGCTTTTTTTGTTTTGCTTTTTTTAAGTGGTCAAACATTCATACGAGTATAAGAAACTCCTTCCTTCCCCAACATAGTCTGTTTGGAGGTCAAACAAAATCAATAGCCTTTCTCTCCAGTCTGTCTCTAAACTAAGCTTCTTTCAAAGACATCCAGAGAAAATGGATCATCTTTTGTTGGTGTGTGTGGGGTTTGGGTTGGGCTTTTTTTGTTTTGCTTTTTTTAAGTGGTCAAACATTCATACGAGTATAAGAAACTCCTTCCTTCCCCAACATACTGAAAGGATTGTATAGAGGTCAAAACTGCCCATCAGTTTTACTACACAATAGATGAGTTATCCAGTTCTTGGGGAGGAAACCAAGCTGGAGGCCGCTTCACACTCGGTAAGAGAGGAAAAAATAAATCAATGTATTTGCTTGATCGGGGTACGTTTAAAGCTGGTTGTCAATTAGTTCAACACAGTTTGCTGTTACAGAGCACAACAATTTAGCCCCAGGAGCTGAAGTTTGCTGCGTTTCCTCAGATTCCTCCTGCTGAGAGACAGATATCGGCTGCAGCAGGTCAGGCACCGAGGAGGAGGAGCGGGGCTGGAAGTCACAGCCGCAGAGTGAAAGGGAGCCTGACATCGGGTACAGCAGGACTGGGGACTCCTTCCCTCCGTTCAAAGTACACAGTAAACCGGATTCGTGTCCAGAAAGGAGTAGAGATGATAACTGGTTATTGCACCGGTACAAAGTGTGCCTCTCCACGCCGCAGCACACACCTTTTAAGATAAACTATAGTTTATGTACCCTTGTGCAGATGGTATCAGCTTTACAGGTACAAGTGGGTCACCCCAAGCTGAGGGAAAGGGCAGAAGGACTGAAGCGGTAGAATGGAAAACTTTGCCTACATCCAACTTTTTAAATAATATAAATTCTTAAAAATCTCAATACCAAAATCACAAGGAGGAATGGGAGGGACAAACAGTGAAAAGACACTTCCTAAGGGTCCCACTGAATGCATCTGAAGGAGAACCGCTGCTTTCAAAGCAACGGATCATCGACGACTTTATCTGCCAGTTCTGTTCTGACAATCAGTGTTGAAAGACACTCACCAAATCACAAATAATTCAGGCTGGGAAGGCTCTCCAGAGGTCATCCAGCTCAACCCTCTGCTCAGAGCAGGACCATCAGGCTAGACACCATCGCTCCTTAGCCGTGCTCCAGCTCCCCTGCAACAGGTTGCTCTTCCCGAGAAAGCAGACATCCTTGTCTTGATTTAAGCATACCAAAGGGTGCGTGGCCACTGCGTCAGAGATGTGGCTGGAGAGGGACGGACACATCTGCAGCTGACTTGGGGCCCAGCGCAGCAAAACTGAGAACAGACCGCAGCAGGAGCGAGCTGCCCATGGCCATCCCCATGGGCCTCTGCCGTCCCCGCAGCCGCGGCCCACGGAGCCACACTGATTCACATTTACCTAGCGAGCATCCCACACCACTGATGTTTGCTGCTGTCGGTACCTATACTAGCTATATTAACGCTACTGTAAGTCTCTAACTCCCCTTCTGAGTGCCAGCACCGGCAGCGACGCGCAGCCTGACTCATCCGCCCCCCTGCACTCACATATGCCGCAGGAAGAAGGGTTTGTTCCACCAGCCGCCGTAAAGGGCACCTCATTTCTGAGCGAACATATTTAGCATCTTCTAATTAGGATCTTAGCTTCTTCTCATGCCCACGCAGGTCTAATAGTTCCAGCGCTAGAAAATCCTGCCGAAGCTCAAAACAGGTTACAGCAACGGTGACCGTCAAATGTTCACCCAAACTCATTATGGTTGCAAGAACAACCAAGGCCAGTAGCTAGAAACAAAAGTGCAGTTTCTTTGCAAGGCTTTTTACCTCCCCTCCTCCAGTCCTCCCAGGTGGAACAATTTACCCGGTGACTATACAGCTCTTACAGTTGCTTGTTAGCACCCCCAAATTAGGAGGTGTAAAGTCAATATCCTTTTGCCTATTTACTCCTAATGAGTCACCACTCAGAAACTTAACTTGAAAAAAACGGTTACAAATGCAGATGCAGCAGCAAATGAAATAAAGGCAGGAATCACCACTGAGCAAACGTCGCACAAAGGCAAGGGGCTGGGCGCACCACGCAGCACCCTACCATTGTCACCGGCTAAAACCTAACAGCTTTGATTTGCCTCCCGCCGGCTAAAATGGTTTGAAATGCAAGGTCTTAACAAAGGTGCAAGACAGAGGAGGAATGGGAGGCACTGCTGGGCACTTAATCTCCTTTCAGTCTCACACAGGAGCTCCAGGAACGGCTCTGCTGAAGTCGGTGGAGTTTCATGAGTGTAGGAAAGCGGATAATCAGGCCTCAGCTGTAACAGAGATCCAGCCCTGTGATCCCTCCATGCAACCAGCAGAAACATTATTTGGGATTTATACTGCAGTTACCTTCAGGCAAGCTCCTTTGCTGCTGAAACCTGGGACAACATCAGTGATCCCAACAGGACAAGAGCAGCTTTCAGCAGCTGTGGAGTTCACCCTCCGCCTCGACACAACGTGTGACTTGAAACTAGGAACCCAAAGCACCCCTCAGCCTGCTCCAGCACTCACCCCTGCAAAAATCTGCCAGAGCAGTAACAGGGGTTTTGTGGTGAGGATACCCCTCGCACCCACACCACATGGGGGGCACGGACACACCGTGAGCCTCACGACTGTCCCTGGCCAAGCGTTGAGGCCATTTGAACATCATTTTTTTAGCTTGATCTGGTGTTTAGATGCCATCCTATTCTTAGCCCTTCCCTGCTGCTTCTCCACACTGAGGTCTTCACCGCCTCCAGCGGCTGTGGGTGATGTCCCCCGCTGCTAGAGCTCCCTCTCACATCTGACCACCCTTTTCCTCTCCTGCTTGTCCTTCCAAAAGCACTTGAGAACATCAGGTATAAACCAAGCCATACCAGCCACACCAACCTGAAGCCAGGATCCCAAGCATGTGTCATCTACCACATGCTCAAACGCCAAAGGCTTGCGTCACCACCGCGCCGCTCAGGCGCAACGTCCGTTCCTCCTCCGTCCCACCAGCCCAGCTCCGGGATGAGGAACAGAAGCAGCCGAGCGGCGTCAGAGAACAAGGACTCCTCTCCACCGTGCTACCTGGGGCCGGATCCTTCCAGCCAGCACAGCCATCCAGTTGCGATCGCTGGGAAACTGCTTGTTGGAGAAGACCCAAAACCCGCCACAGCTAGAAGGCGGCAGGGTCACGGCAGATGGCAGGATCTTTTCCTTATTGCCTTGGGAAGAAAGGCACCCTTTTTGGCAGCTGCGAACGCAGAGGAGGAGAAGGCCTTTTGGGCACTCATTTCAGCTTTCAGAGACGTGGGCAAAATAAATCTGAGCGCTACCCAGTGATTCTTCAAGCTCAACCACTCCAGGCAGCAGGACAGGCACATCCCCAGAGGGACTACAGCAGAAGTCAGGGAACACAAAGCTCAGGAGACGTTTAGAAGGTCTCAGCTCCTATGTCACCGTAAAAGCACGAATTGTCTGTTACGGGCATTCAGAAAATACTTAAAATTCATCAGGGACCAAAGCGTGCGCTATTTATTGCTGGCGCAGCTCATTAAAAGGGATGCTCACAGAGTGCAGCCACGCGAGCATCTCCCTCCAACCCCAATACCCCCTCTCTTCCTCACGCTAAGACAAAATAGGGGTTTTTTACTGGGCCTTCTCACTCCCTTTACTTCCAGCTCGCCTTCCCCTTCTTGCGAGCGCCGAGACCGCAGACGCTCTACACGTGTTCTCCTCTGCATCCGACTGGCAGGCAGTCTGGAAAATGCCAGTATTGGAACGGCCTGAATTCAGCGGTTTCTGAATGCTGATCGGACACTATTTCGTTCAAGCCACAGATAGTCATTTTTGGGGGGTATTTTCAGCTCCCTTTTTGGACCCTTCCAGATTTCCAAGCGTCATGCATCAGCAATTTCTCCTCTTCGGAGCTTCATTATTTTCCACCTTTCCGCCGAGCCTGAGGCTCGGTGCAGTTTTGTAGGGGACCAGGCTCTTCCCTCCTCTTCCAGACGGCCACGCAATGCTACTGGCGTTGTTAATGTTTGCTGTGCTCCGCCTCGCAGCTGCGGAAATTCCTGACTATCTGGTTTTTAAAAGAGCTGAGGTGAAATATGAGC